GAGAGAGAGAGAGAGAGAGAGAGAGAGAGAGAGAGAGAGAGAGAGAGAGAGAGAAGATGAAGGCTTTGTTTGGGATGACTTTCTTGTTGCTTCTTAAAGCAACTTTTTATTATAAAAATTTAAATTTTTGTACTAAAAAATCGCTTTAAGAAGCAACAAAAAAACTGTCACAAACGAAGCCGAAGTTACCACCAAATCTCGGATGATTTGGTGGTAGTAGAGTCAAACAATTGGCTATAGATATGAATTGAGACTTTAGAGTCTTTTATCCATGGCGAAAAAGAAATGAAGTAAAGTGCAAGTTGTCAAAGTGATGTCTTAACTTGTAATCACATAAGAATGCAAGGAGAAAGCTGGCTTGTATCATTTGTTGCTCTTGTGCTGGCAAAGGCAAACAAAGATAGAAAGGGGCCTATTATGATGGTTTGGCTTTAGAAGATATTTTGTTAGAATACAAAGTGGTGTGAAGTATTTTAAATATATGGATTTTGAAAATTTTCATGTCCGATCGAAGTAGAAAGTAGATCAAAGTAAATAAAATTTTGTATAAATTATTTTAGTTTATTTTTGAAGTAAATCAAATTTGTCCAATTTTAAGCGAGAATTATTTACACCCAAAGCAAGCTTGCTTGACAGCTAGCCACCACCGACTACAACCACCACCCAATCCTCGCAACCCCCACTGGCCACCACCCACCTCCAACCACCACCACCGCCGCAATATCTCACCACTGCCGGCCAACCACCACTATTGCCGACCCCACCAACACCAACTGATCATCCACCTGTCGATGGCTGCCACTATTTTTGAAAATTGCACTACATTCATTACTTCAAAAAAAAAAAAAAAACATTCATTTATATTTACTTTATATTCATCCAAACATGCATTATTTTTATACTGCATTCCTTGTGCACTATATTTTTTTTACATTGCATTCTTTGTAAGTTAATCAAACAGCCCCTATGTCAAAGAAGAAGGCAAGGAGTAACATTAACAGGTCTCTCCAATGTAGGAAGTGAAATCAATAAGTTTATTTCTCAACTGTGAATGTCTTTGAAATAATGATAACAAATTTAATTGCAACTAAATTTTCTTAAAAATTATGAGCGATAAATCTAAAAAAATAAAAGTCTACATGAATCATTTCATGATATCGTTGGATTTAGCCTTTTTAATATATTTTTTTAATTTATTACACTAAAAAATTTCATGCATTAACTAAAAATAAAATCACATTATAGTTTTCTTCGACTTGTTTAATGGACGCCATTAGCAAGCTTTCCATGAAGATCTTCATGTTTTTGGTAGTTACTAAAATGACCATCCGTACTCTCTGTCCTCGCTCACTTCTCCGCATCCTTTCCTTCGGCCTCCACTCAGTCGCCGCCGGCGACGAGCCTACCATCACAGCCACAGTAAACGACCTCTGCCGCCTACTAAGCGACTTCCGCTCCCAACACCACGACCTCGAATCTGCCCTCTGTCCCTTCTCCTCCTCTGTCTCCCCCGCCGTCGCCGAGCAAGTCCTCAAGCGCTGCCGCCATCTTCCATCTCCTTCACACCGCTTCTTCATCTGGTCATCCTCCCTCCCATCTTTCCTCCACACTCCTACCTCCCACTTTGTACTCCTCGACCTCCTAGCCTCCAACCGTCTCTTTCCTCTTTCCTGGACCGTCATCTCCGACTTCCACCCCCATTTTTCCCACTCCAACTCCTTTCGCCTCCTTTTCCAAGCCTACTCACGCGCCTCGCTCCCGCACGATGCCATCCGCGCCTTCCGTAGAATGCCCGACTTCGGGCTCCAACCTACTATAGACGACCTCCACCACCTAATCTCATCTCTCTGCCATCAAGGCCTTGTAATCCCAGCGCAAGAATTTTTCCATGAATGTAAAGCTGAGTTCTCTATTACGCAGAAAACCTACACGCTTCTCATGAACGGTTGGGCCTCGGTTAGGAAGCCGAAGAATGCCCAGCACCTTTTCGACGAAATGCTGCAACAACATCTCCTTGTCGATGTCTCTGCTTATAATTCGCTCATGGCAGCATTTTGTAGAGGGGGAGAGCTTGACGAGGCTCATAAACGGTTCCAGGAGATGAGAACATTGCAGAGGCTTGAGCCGAATGCTGGAAGCTACGCGGTTTTCATTCGAGCTTATTGTGAAGCGAAGGATCTCAATTCCGCCATGAGAGTCATCGAGCACATGAAAATGCATGACCAAACACCGAACGTATTCACATACAACGCTATCATCAAGCTGTTATGTGAGAAGAAGAAGGCTGATGAGGCCTACCAACTGCTTGATGAAATGATTGAAAGAGGCGCTAAGCCTGATACTTGGAGCTACAATGCAATACTAGCTTTGCATTGCAAGATTCAGGAGGTTAACAAGGCACTTAGGCTTCTTTCTAGAATGGACAGAGACTCTTGCTTGCCCGACCGGCATACATATAATATGTTACTGAAGATGTTGATTGGCATTGGTAGGTTTGATCGGGTAATTGAGGTTTGGGAAAGCATGGAGAAGCGGGGTTTCTTTCCTTCTGCATCATCTTATGCTGTTATGGTTCATGGGTTGTGCAGGAAGAAGGGGAAGATTGAAGAAGCTTGTCGTTATTTTGAGATGATGGTGGATGAGGGCATTCCACCTTATCCCAGTACTTGTGAGGTACTCAGAAGAGAGCTTCAACGGTTAGGAATGGGAAGGAGGATTGAAGTGCTGGTTGATAAGATGAAGAGGAGTACTTCTTGCAGTATACAAGAGCTTTCTAATGCCATGGATGCAAGCCAGATAGTTGAAGGGCATACCTGAATTTATTGCTGGTAAACATGAATTTGAAGTTTCAAAACAAAGGTATTAGAAATTTACAAGCGCATATGAGCTTTCAAGTGCGTTGCAACGTAGTTTGTGTTATAGTCTAGCACTTTAAGAAGACCACAGAAACTGGTGTGCTTACTCGTGAATGGGAAATTTTAGACTTGCTTCAACAATACCGTTGACTGTGACAAAGAACTGCTGCATTCTGTCCTTTGAGGTTTTTGGGTTACACTCATTTGCTTCATTCATTTGTAGGCAAGCTTCACGAGAAACAGCAATGAGGTCTCTTGTTTGCGGGATTATAGCTTAGGTTTTTAATGCTGTATTCATGGGAGATGACTAGTGGGAAACTACGCACTTTCAAATATATCATTTCAAGGGATATTAGAGGTAAAATATCAAATGAATAGTCATGCTGAATGCTGCAAAATCAGGCCGTTATATTAGTGATCGATTTACTTTACCTTATTTGATCTCATACGTATACGAAAGCATGAAAAACAGAGACCAATGTACATAATTTTTACATGAAATACCTAAAATAGAGATTATAGAGTGTTGCTCTGCCGAAAAGCTGATACAATCTGTCATCTTTCATCATGATATGAAGAATTGTTAAAACAATGCAAAAGAGCAAGTAGTTGTATTTGTTGTTAGTTTGTAGCTAAGGCGCAAGTAGGAAATGGTTGTAGTACAGATGATGTGGCAGTTAATTAGTTTACTTATAACTCATATTTGGTTTTCTAGATTCTGTTTTTTTGGTTCAACCCAATACAAATGGGCATTGCAAAGGTTGAAGGATTTATAAGAGGGTATATGGTTGACACTCCTAAGGGTCTAGGGTACCATTCAGGTTGAATCCTGGGATAATATAGTATACTAGATTCAAGGATCCTAGGAGGAGTCAAAGGTACCTTGGGTTTAATTTTGGATTAAATTGGTTTTGGTTTAGTAAGGTGATAGGAAGTGCTTGTAGAATTTTAGTAAAAGCCTTGGCTGAAATCTAATTTCAGCGATTTCAGAAAATCAATGACAAGAAAATTAGGAATAGAACACACAAGAACCTATGATGCACGGAAACAGACACGGACATGGACACGGCGATACGGACATGACACGCACTGACACGGGACACAACTTTTTTGAAAAAATAGGACACGGGTACAGCGCGGACATGGTATTATATTTTTTTATATAGTGTATAAATATTAATGTAACATCATATAAGAAATGACAAACAATAATAATGAATGACATGATATATAATTTTTCTAGTTTATAATATAAAATGTTTAATACAAAATATCTAGTACAACCACAAAAATTTAAACAAATAACCATTTACTACAACATCAAGCATTCAAGCTTCAACTACTATTTTTTTCTTTTTAAAATTAAAAGATTTAAGCTTAAACTGCTAGAATTAGCTTCAGAGGTTTGTTTTTGGCCTTCAATATCACAATCATTGAATATCATTGCTTCCAACTATGATTTATCAAAAGAAAGATTTGCAATAGTTAATTGGATATCATATAATGAAAGTTGATTCTTCTTTTTATCTATTTACTTCTCTAGTTCGCTAGTTCTCTCCCATAATATTTCTTTAATCTCTAATCTAAATCACAAAAAATGTATTTATTTACTTTTGTACTTCTCTAGTTCTCTAGCATAATAGTTAATTGGATATCATATATTAATCTTTATTCTATTAACCTTAAATCTTTTATTTTCTAAATATTTTCTATCTCATTCTAACTTTTCACCTATTTCAATAAATCCTATCAACTAGAATTACAATAAAGCATGCACATAAAGATCTTTCAAACATAATCAAAATTCTTCTTATTTCATGTCACTAAAAATTGCAAACACAGGTAGGCATAATGGTTTTCAATAATCATTACTGCCTCTCAAAAAAAAAGTTTCATTATCTAATAATCATGCCTTTCAATATTCATATTGATGCATATACAAGCGAATGCGATATTTTATTTGATTTAGTAAATATAAAAATATATAAAAAGTTATAATTTAAAAGGAATTATTATAAAAAATTAGGACACGCATGTCCTAGCTGTGTCAGGTTAAATTTAAAAATTAATTTAATCAAACACGTGTCTGTCGTGTCCAACTTGTGTCCCAGCTGTGTCAGACACTGCATTCTCTCTTCAAGAAGTGTTTCGGCTCATCATAGACAATAACTCTTTTTTTATTGAAAATTTTATGAAATAAAGACAACATATAAGTGGATCTTCAATTGGAGAGGAAGATCCTGCTCTCCCAAATATCTGGCCATCGGCTAGAGTCCAAACACCATAAGAACAATTTAAATTCAGCAAATAACATATATTCCTAACCCTAAAAAAATCACCTACTAAAGCAAACAATAAATAGTAAATACCCAAACCTCCTTCCCTCATTTTCCTCACAAATCTTCCCTTTTTCCTTAATTATTTTCCTTCCAAATCAACCCTCAAATCAGCCCACAAATCTGCCCTCTTCGATTAGGAAATATTTTTTAATTAATACTCTCCAAATCAGCACCCAAATCTATCCTCTTCAATCAGGAAATATTTATAAATTAATCCCCCTAAATTAGCCTCCAAATCTGCCCCTAAATCTACACTCTTCAATTAAAAAATATTTTCTAATTAATTCCCTCCAAATCAGCCCCCAAATCTGCCATCTTCAATTAGAAGATATCTCCTAATAGTTCCCTCGAAATCAGCCCCCAAATCTGCCGTCCTCTCCTGTGGCTCCCGCTTCCTCCGTATCAGAAGGTCTAATTGAGTTATTTTGGAGCCGAATAAACTCATCATTGACCTTCTATACCCATTGGATAGGTTAGATGTCAATTGATCTTTCAAGGCAAAAGGGATCTCGTATGGTAGGCTCTTCACTAGTGTAGTTCAAGAGTTTATAAGGCGTATTTCTAATGTTGATTTTAAGGACTACTAACATAGTTAGGCCATCTATATCTAGCTCCTAGAAGTTTGTAAGGCTTCCTAGAGCTAAAGAGCTGAAATCAACTGTTTGGAATTTCTATGACTAGCCAATATTAAAGTTAATGAAGACCCACCTAAGAAGCCCTACAGGGAAGGTTCTATGGTAAGGAAGGATCATCTATCTCCCAAGGCTAAGCACAAAGAAGAATTTATCAATCTTAATAAAAAAAAAATGATATCAACCTTTTTTAGCTATCGCCCCAATAATGCCTAGTCCTATCTTGGGAACTAGAATGTTGGAAATAAATTGCAGTATATTAAATCAACAAACCATCTTCTTCATCAAGTTCTCTATTTTTCAAGTAGTGGTTGAATCTTTGATTTGAAAATTTTTGAATAATTAACTACCCAGTTATGTATTGTTGAATTGTAGGTAGATTGAAATAATTTCAATCAAGTTCTTGCATGTAATCGGATCTCTTGAAGTTCTTGTTGGTCTTACCTTCAGATTTCCCCTTTTCATGCCAGTTTGAATGAATTGAGCAGGAACGAAGTTTGCTCTGTAACCCAAGAAACAGGGTTGTTTTTAAACAAAAATCTAAACATACAGGGATAGTGAATGTATGCCTAGGAAATTTAATTTGAGTTTAGTTTGTGGTTCAATTCTTATATTAAAGTTGGGTAGAGTTTCATTTGGTCAACCTACTTTGTCACATCAATGCTGTATTTCTCTTGAAAGTGAGCTTTTTTTCTTTTTTTTTTCTTCTCCAGCTCCTTTCGTATCAAGCAAACGGTACCAAGTGTTCACATATTTTTAGAAGTGGTATTTTTTTATAATTAATTGCCTGATTTTTTTTCTTTTCTTTTATAAGGGAAATTTAGTAAATAAAAAGCACTAGTTTTTATTTGAAATGGTTAGCTTATAAATACCCCATTCTTCTAGAAAGTGGGCAGTTATTGGAGAGTTTATTTCATGTTATTCTCATGTTGGTGAAAGGTTAGTTTATGAGTATCGTTGCGGGGTTTACTTTCACATCCCAACAGGTTTTTTTTATAATTAATTAAGTGTTAGAGGGACCGATTTCTTTTCTTCTCTTCTCTTCATAAAAGTAATTTAGGGGCTAAAAAAAAAATAAAAAAAAAGTAATTTAGGGGCTGTTTGGCATGCATAATTAGGAGGGTAAAGTAATTTAATTACGTGCATTTCTTAAAATTACGTCGTTTGGTTGATTTTGAGCAGAACATAAGTCCTCTGAAGCATCAGCAATGTATTATAGAAGATCGTTCATGCGACATCGAAACCCGCTCAAATTGAGAAAAGGGCAGTTTTTGAGGTTTGTTTCAGTTAATCCTGAAGTTGGGGAAGGGTTTCCCTATTTTGGGGTGGATTCTTCAAATATGGAGAGGTGAGAAGGGAATGAGATCATAGTGGAGTTTGGGACTTCATCACAATCGATCATCTAAGCTTCTATACTTTCTCCTCATCTATCTTAGCCCTGTCATTTCAATTTCTAGAGATCGTCCCCCAAGTGGTAACAAGAACTTGTACGGGAGCAGTCTCAGCGAATCTGCACTTCTGCGGATACCTAAAGACCTGAATTCAGGTTCACTATTTTTAGATTTAAATCTTACCTTGTTTTCTTCTTGATAGGAGCTAATCCACCAATTTTTTTCTTGTCCTTTTCAATGCAGATTTTGAGAATTGCCATACCCAGTTGAAACATTATTAACAACAATCCTGAATCTCAATCTCCCATTTCTTGAACAAAGAGGAACATTTTGAATCAGCCAAGCATTGGTGGTTGAGGTTTTCATCTGCTATTCCAGACATCTCTTGAAAAATATAATTGGCTTGCTGTTTGCTCTCTTTTCTCTCTTTCTTTTTCTCTACTATGAGCTAAGGAGTAGGATACTTAGGTTTTGTTTGGGACAGCTTCTTATTGCTTTCTAAAATAGTTTTCTACTATAAATTTTTGTATTGAAAAGCTGCTTTACAAAATAGTAAAAAAGTTGTCCCAAATGAAGCTTTAATTTAATTGGTGCATGCTTGTTTATAAATTTCCATTATTCGGAACGGGATATGTGGTTATGCTTAGTGACCAAATTTTATTTTAGCTATGAAATTTCAAACTGCATCTTAAGCCTTCTTTAACCAACTTTTGCTCTTGCTGGAAGTTCTTCAGACTTTATTTGCGCCTTCTTTTGTCTTTATTCTCCCAAGCTATTCAAAATTTTAAGTCAGCAATTTTCTTGGTGTCACTGCCAATGGCAGCGATAGCAAAGTGGCCTCCGCTGCCCCAACTTAACAAGCCAATTTGACACAAGTTTGTTAGCTCACCTTTGAATTGGTTAAGTTCGATTAGTTCAAAACCTCTAAGACATTTGTTTTGAGTTTTTTTTTTGTTTGTTCAAATTCATCTAATTCATTGGTTATTGTGATGCGATCTCCATGATATTTTAAGCTCAAGTGCTCTTTAATTTTTCATTTCTTCTTAAATCTTATTGATCTCATGAGCCTATTGAAAGAACTCATGGTTTGAGAAAAGATAAAGAGAACTGCTGTAGCATTAATGAAAAGCTTGCTTTCGCTGTTTACATTGCTTGTGATATATAGAGAAGAGGGGAGACAGCCCCTTACACAGGACAGAGCTTTTGCAGATAAGTAATAATGTAATGAGATGGTTTTGTGCTTCCTGTTCTTCTGTTGAGCAGTGGATGATGGATAAGTACAGATATAATTTGCTGGCCTTTTCACCAAATGTGTATAGCTTATCACCTATGTGATTTAATTATGGTTCATTAGTATTCTACTGATTTCAATTTAGTTGGCTTTCCTGTGAACTACGTTGTTAGTAGTCTTAATTATCATCAAGTATTGGATCATCTTAGAAGAAAATATCTTAGAGTGTTTGTAATGTGCTAGTTTAAGAGATAGTGCCCTTATTCATAATGAAGGTGAGGGCGTTATGTGTCAGCTTCTCCATTGGCTTGTAAGCAAAGCAATGAGTGCTTGGTTGCAAGTTTGTGCAGTGTAACTCTAGTTTGGGTTAGGTACTAGTTGTGGAGATAGGCTATGAGGCAGATTGAATAATATAAGTATCATCCTGTCTTTTAGGCTTCGTTTGGAACAACTTTCTTAATATTTTTAAAAGCAGCTTTTTTGTACTAAAAATTTGTAATAGAAAGTAATGAAAAAGTCACTTACATGTTTTAATTATTAGATTACATCATAATTATCTTTTAAAGGGAAAAAATAGGTCTATCCAACAACACTATTCTAAAATATATTTTTTGTTAAGTAGTTTATTATTATTATTATCATTGTTGTTATTATTATTATTATTATTTATTGCCAAAAATGTGACCTATTTCATTATGGTGGAATAAAACCTTGTATAATCGTGAATGAGAAATTGAATGATTACATTACATAAATATATAAAATTACTTTACCACAAATTAGATGGGTTGTCATGAAAAATTTATTTCGCGACAACAATTTGATTGAATTCCTCCTACACTCTTCAACTGCCACGTCAATGAAAGTTGTCTAGGCGATGCAGAAAGGGGGAAATTATTACGTCTCGGTGTCCGGGATTCGTCCGGACACCAATCCAGACGTGCTATGTCATGCAGGTACACCCGGGGCCCGGTGTATATGGGTGACGTAGCGCGTCTGGATTGGTGTCGACGGTCCGGTCACCGGATGTAATATTTCGCCGCAGGAAAGGGGCTTAATATTCTCAATAATGTGTTACATCAATGAAATAATAATTTAAATTTACTTAATTTATTATTTCAAATTAGTTTTGGCTGACGCTTCTTTTTACACTTCAGGCCAACCGTATTCCTCTGTTTCACTAGCTTTCCAACACGAGATTTGTGATGAATTTGTAGCCACAATAATAGTTAAATTTAATAGCAGAGATTAATTCTTTATACCACAAAATACCCATTAATACATTCTAAATTAAAAAAAAATCTTAAAATATATAATTAATAAGCAAAATATTATATTAACATTTTAAAAAATAAATTAAAATAAAATAATTACATTATATTTTATATTTTATTACAAATTTAAAAAAATTACAAACTTCTAATAAATAAATATATATTATATAAAATATAAGAAATAAATATACTATTAGTTTTTGTAATTTTCATCAACTATTTATTCTGTTCCTTAATTCAAAATTTTACTATTTATTTAATTAATTATAAATATTATATTAAATTTTATATAGAAAACGCAAAATTAAAGATAAGTTTTCATGAGAAAAACCAAATTTTATTTTACATTTTTGTCGAAAAACTTGGATAAAGCTTAGATTATATCTATTTTTTAAAGCTAAAACATGCAAGATAGCGTGTAGAATAATTTAATTTTGCGTATTTGTAGTTTAATTACTCTATAACTATCTTTTCTTTATCTTATTGTCCGTTTAAATTATGTGCGTGTGCAATGTGATGCCCGCGTGCTTCACCAGTTCTTATACTTCCTAGCAAATTATCCTTCCCGCGCAAGAAAATTCAGCAAGAGGCTGCAGCGGGGGGAATGGAGGGGTGGGAGGGCCAAATCGACGTCGACGATTCCGATCTCCAATCTGTTCTCCGTCCTCCACTCATCAGTCTCTTTGTCCGCCCCACGCAATACTCAACCGTCCAGCCCTGCTCGCAAATTTCTTCCTCTTTTTCAAACCCTAGACCGTACTCGCTCTATCCCTCCTTTTCAATCCCAACTTCCTACCAATATTTCTGGATAAATCAAAACGAAGAAGAAGAGCATCCCTCATTCCCGGTTCCGCTGGCGCTATTCAGGCGGCCATGCGCAGGCGATCCGCTGCAGCTTGTTCAGAAAGGTTGCTCCCAGAAGGGGAAGGAAGTGATTGATCTCGATCTGTGTGTAAACGAAGAAGATGGAGATTTCAAGCTTAAGCCTTGGCTGTATGCCCTTAGCTTTCTAGGTGAGTGTGGAGGTAGATCGTTTACTGTTTTCTTTATGTTCTAGGCTAGTTAGTTAGTTTTTCCATCTGTCAGGCCTAGGTAAGGACTCGAATTTGCCGTACCCGATCAGTTTGATCAATGCCCAGCGGAGCGGTACCCAAAGAATACCTCAGGTTGAGCAAATATTGCATCTATTGGTTGTCAAGTTCCAGTTTAGTTTTATTTGCTTCACCTGGCTCAGTGACTTGATGGTTAGGTGGTAGGCATTGTCAAATCCTGTACACCAAATGGGCTTGGTGATTTTTTCATAACACTGAAGGTAACTAGATTATGCTTAAATGACGCCTCTTATTAAAATTTGAATGGCTATGGAATGTGTTAAATGAGTAACTTCCCTTTAGGATCGAACAGGCACAATTGGCGCAGCTATCCCCGCAAGGTCCTGTCTGAAGGAAATATTTGTAGGGAAATTTCGGTTGGATGTGTTTTCATTCTGAAGCAGGTGTCAAATATTTCTATTAATTAAGATGATATTTTATTTTTTTCCGTGTGTTTTTGTGTTGTTGATACTTTCTTTAGGTGACATGGCTTTTTGAGTGTCATCAGAAAATTGCATTGTTGTGCTTTCAGGTGGTTGCACTCTGCCCAGCTCGCTCCTCCTGTTATCTCAATATTACACTGAAGAATGTGGTAAAGGTATTGGCTTATGTTGTAGATAAATTTTGTTGTTCAAGTAATGTATAAGTTTAGATTCTTATATATTTTGTTCAATGCTTGTTTGGTAAAAAAAAAACAATAAGCCTTTGTCCCACTACATGGGGTCGACTATATGAATCTTTTTTCGCCATTGTGTCATGTTAAAGTCAAATTCTCATTAATAACTAATAAAGAAAGATCATTCTTAAATTTTATAATCAAGTCTTTTTAGGTCTACCTCTACCTTTCTTAACATAAGTAATATCTAATACCTCAATTTTCCTAACCGGGTCATCAGAAGGCCTCCGTTTAATGTGACTAAACCATCTTAGGCGATTCTCTCTAATCTTATCTTCTGTTGGAGCTACTCCAACCTTTTCACATATATGCTCATTTCGTATCCTATCTCTAAGGGTAAAGCCACTCATCCACCATTCCACCTAAGCATGCTCATCTTTTCAACACTTAACTTAGTATTATGCTTCTCTTTTAATGGCTAACATTCGGCATCATAAATCATTGCAGGTCTCACCACCATCTTATAGAATTTTCCCTTAACTTTGAGGGGGACTTTTCTATCGCACAACAAGCCCGATGCATTCCTCCACTTCAACCATCCAACTTGAATTCTGATAAATATCCCTATCTATTTCACCATCGCTTTGAACAATAGATCCAAGATATCTAAAACTTTACTCTTATTAATGACTTGATTGCCCAAAGTCCAAAGTCACAATCCCCTCACTAGGCCTATTGCTACTAAAATTACACTCCATATATTCAGGTTTAGATCTACTCTAGCGAAAACCTTTAGACTCTAAGGTTGACCTCCATAATTCAAGTTTACTTTCAACTCCCTCTCTAGTCTTAACAACAAGAAGAATATCATCAACAAAAGCATAACACCAGAAACATCCTCTTGCAAATGTCTAGTGAGAACATCCATGACTAAAACAAAAAGATATGAGCTTAAGGCTGATCCTTGATGTAATCCAACTGAAATAGGAAAATACTTGGTCAAATCACCTTGTGTTTGAACACAAGTAATACTCCTGCATACATATCTTTAAAGATTTGAATATAAGCGTTATTAACTCTTTTCTTTTCAAGAACTCTCCAAAGCACTTCTCTTGGAACTTTATCATATGCTTTCTCTAAATCAACAAATATCATATGTAGATCTTCCATATTCTCTATATATTTCTCCATCAAACCTCTCAATAAATGTATGGCTTCCATAGTAGACCTATCCGGCATGAATCCAAATTGATTTTGAGAAACATTAGTATCACGTCGCAACCTACGCTCCATAACGCCGCAACAAGAAACATTGTTTGTTGTTGTTGTTATTGTTGTTGCTTGTTTGGTGAGATAAGTAGCACTAGTTCTTCCAACTGAATGCACTCATGGAGGACTCTTTTCAAACCTCTTCTTGCTGGCATCTCACCATTGATGGGTGGATATCAGATCATTCATCACCAATCGTGCCCTCTCTATGTGCTAAAAAAAATCTCAAATGTGAAATGAAATTAAGGGATGCCTCAAACTATCTCTCAAACCCCATAGAAAATGATAGCACTTCTCTTCAGAGGTGCTGACTGAACTCCGTCTCATATTGCATCGCAGTCTTGTCCCTTAAACCAACCTTAGAAAGGACTCCTAGATCTGCTGCCTGGCAGATGGTGGCATGAACCAACTCCTGAAGTTCTCCATAAGCTCCTCACAAGAAATCTCCGCATTTGACCTACCCTGGAATCTCCCCCTCTTAACACAATTAACAAAACCGTCCTGACCTCTGGCCATTACATAATATCAAAAGATTTCTCAATCCACCTCAGCCAGGCTTCAAATGTCTGAGGCTCAATAACACCTTGAAATTGACGTGGCTTTAATCTCAGAAATAATAGCAGGTGCTTATCATCCTCATCTCCCTTAACTCCATTCATCCTATCTTGAGCCTCACTATCAGCTAGGCCATTAACCCAATAAACTGCATCATTGAATCATAAGTCATTGCACCCATAATACTCTAAACTATTGCAGCCTGATCGGAACTCTATCCATCAGCTGCTCTTGCTCTTGGGGGTTCATGATGCAACAACACTTTAATTTTTATAAAGAACAAAATGATTTAATAATTATATGCAGGTTTATCATAAATTAATAGAAAAATTTATAAAGCTCCCAACTCTTTGCTCTTACTCTTACTAATCAATTTCTATATCTTTGATTATAATTCAAATCCTTCCAAATCATTGTTCTGATACCACCCTGGGATGCCCTAGGATATAATGAAAGGATTGAAATCTTAAACCTATAATTATTACTCAACAATTAATAGAATAACTAGAGCTACTACAAAATTCAAATAAATAAAATTGTTAAACCACATTTTATTTCATCAAAAAAATATATACAATAACCCAATAACTTTCAATCATCTATACATTAAATTGATTTAAAACTGGATTACAAAAAAATACCTCAATCACCTAAGCTTAGAAGATCCTACCTCTACAACTTTCTACTCCACTTCTCCTTTACCTTTCTTTGAAATGTCAGTAAACTTCCTCCTAACCTCTCATAGATATCAATATCCAAAGTGAAATATTAAATAGAAGTTAATAACAAAAAAATATAATGACTTGTAAAGAATAAATCAAGTATTATAGTGCATGATTTTCTAGAGTTTTAGTGTTGACTCGATTTCAAAGTTTTTGCTTATATCCTTGAAGCCACTTTCACAGAGAAGATAGATGCATTACAGAATCTTTCTATTAGAGGTCCACTTGCACTTGACTTTACATTTCATCAAGGTTTATTTAGAATTTCAGGAATTACTATCATGCTATTTGAAATATTAGTTATACTTATTTCGTTGAAGTTTTAACACATGCAATGCAATGATTTTAATGGACATGTCCCGATGTCTGTTTATAAGTCCACTTCAACTTATACCTTCGTTGAACCTCCCACACCTATATCTAGCAAGTGAGTTCAGAATCAGAACAAAACAGTACCATATAACCTTTCACATATTTTAACAATACAAAAACATCAAGCCTTTGTCCCACTACGTGGGGTCGGCTACATGAATCTTTTTTCGTCATTGTGTCTTGTTAAAAGTCAAATTCCATTTAAATCTAAAAGAAAAAGATCATTTTTAATATTTCTAACCAAGATTTTTTAGTTCTACCTCTACTTTTCTTAACATAAGTCAAATCTAATACCTCAACTTTTTTATTCGGTCATCGGAAGGCCTCCGTTTAATGTGACCAAACCATCTAAGGCGACTCTCTCTAATTTTATCTTCCACTGGAGCTATTCCAACCTTTTCACGTATATGCTCATTCATATCCTATCTCTAAGGGTAAAGCCATTCATCCACCTAAGCATCCTCATCTCTGCAACACTTAACTTAGTCTTATGCTTCTCTTTTAAGGCCAACATTCGGCACCATAAAGCATTGCAGGTCTCACCACCATCTCATAGAATTTCCCTTAAGTTTGAAGTGGACTTTTCTATCGCACAACAAGCCCGATGCATTCCTCCACTTCAACCATCCAACTTGAATTCTGCTGATAATATCTCCATCTATTTCACCATCAATCTGAATAATAGATCCAAGATATCTAAAATGTGTACTCTTATTAATGACTTCATTGCCCAAAGTCACAATCCATTCACTAGGTCTATTGCTGATAAAATCACACTTCACATATTTCAACAAGTGAGGCTAAAATTTCTCCCACATCCACACTAGGTAGATGGGGTCAGAACATAACATATAGAGCTTTTGTAATGTATCGGAGTGCATTTTTTCACATATCAGAAGTTCAGAACATCTTTAATGACATGCTATGAATAATGCAAATACAAATGCAACAATAATTAATTATGCTTTTAATATACTTGAGTGATGCATGACTTACTATCAAAACTATCAGTAGAAGCTACATTATATGTATAATATTATACTCACTGAACTTTTCTTGTCCGATTTCCAACTTCAAAGGGATGTTCACATGAATGTTTTAAAAACTTCTACATAATTATTGCAATTATATAAAAAAACCTCAGTTAAGTTATATACTCAGAAAATTGCATAGAGAAAACCAATTGAAAAAAATCTATTTTCTATAGCCAAATTATTCAGAATAAAGCTTACAATAATATATTAAAAGTTATATGGTGAAAACATCGTAAAATTTGAGAATTTTTTTTATCTATAACATTTTCTAAAACTATTGAAATTGAAATCAAAGATATGAGTTAAAAAGTCTACCTTGTGCTCTACAATATCCTGAACAGGCCCGATGGACGAATATTGAGTTTTGGCCTTCAAAACCTTTCCCTCATTTTCTCTTTCCTCTTATATTTTCTTCTCCTATTCTCTACTCCGATGAAGGTTGGGGTGTGGGGTGATTAGCAAATGTTTTATATTTTATATATAAACATTCATTTTGATCCGCGTCGTGACACTTGCCTTCGCAGTGCTGCTGAGCTTTTAGAGAATCTTCCAGACTCTCCTAGAATCTCACTATTGGAGGGCTTTGCGCCGCGACGATGCTTCCTAGCGCTGCAGCGCACATTCATTTTACCCTCCACTCCTGAGAGCTCAATGTCGCGGTGTTGCCCATCCCGACGTCACGGTGCTCACATGGCAATTTTGACACTTTGAAATTTCACTTCTCTAATCCAATTCTTGACTCACTTAATGCCTCCATAAACACTCCAAAAGCTTATAATTACAAACTAAAATCAAACAAATATTTAGTTCGACAATCCTTAACTACTTGGATTTTTGGACAACGAATATTGCACATCCATTTATGATGTGGAAATCCTTACTTATTTAACAATGCAGTCGGGCATCGGTGCTGTGGCCTATGTACTTTTTTCACTGTATTAAGGCCATACGTTGTGTCGCTTCCAAGAAATGTCTTAGCTTTAATACAATATATTAAATAATTGATATTATAATTATTCGACAAGTTTTATGATGGCTGTCGATTACCTAACACAATCCTTCACTTTTCTTATTCAGGTTTTGGGACCTGAAAATGTCAATGTTGTTAACCCATTTAAATAAATGAGTTATGATTATATGGCTCATTTAAGAAAATTAGCCCATTTTACAAAGTCCAAATAAAGGTCTTTATGGCCTAGCTCTGTTGCAAATGGGTTGGTCCTGTCCAATTGACAACTCTATTCTCATGTCTTCAATTCAAAATAAGTGTTGGTAATTTTACTATGGATTCTCTAAATTTTTCTCTTTTTTGAGAAAACTAGAGCTAATTGTATAACAAAGCGTCAGGTGGAGTGTTAGCATGGAAAGAAAAAGCTAACCAAGAACTTTATATTTAGCAAGTGGTGTATGCTTGTTGAATTATACCCTTTCCTTCATTTTTAACATAGAGATCCTCTAGTGAATAATGCAGAAGAGAAAACTTTCCCTCTAACAACATCATTACGCATGATCGAAGTTGTGTTTCTCAGTTTGTTTCACTCTATCCATAATGCTAAATTATAAGTTTTGGTGGACTGAAGTGCAACAACCTAGAGATGCGGTCTCTAACTAATTCCTCTTTTAAAGACGTTAACATCAAATGTTTCCTTATGTGCTTCTTAAATTACAACATTTTTGGCTGTTTGCAGGATGCTGTAATGGAAAAATGATTATTTAACCAATGTGGATTTTGTAGTGGGATTGATGTGCTCAAGTTTAACCTTACAATGTAAAGACTGAAAGGTTATTTCTGTGGGAAATATAGCTGCAATTATTTTATAACTTTGAACAAAATTTCATACATAATCATTGTTCCATATACGAAAGTAAGCTAAATAGTTAAATCAATGTCGGCTTTCTTATGTTGATATTTATTGTATGGTATGAGGAAGTTGAAGATACTTTGAGGAAAAGCAATGTGAAAAGATTGACAGAAAAAAGCATCAGCTTGCAGTGTTCCAAAAGATACTTTGATGTGATACCAAATGCAAGGAGCTTTGTAAGAAATTAAAATTGAGTTGGCAAAGAAATTACAACTAATAACTTATGACGATAGCAAGAAAATCATTAAAATTTCGTAGTTATCAACTAGCTTAGGCGAAGAAGTATGTAGATTAGCCAAAACTTTCAGACAATCAAAAATAGTAGCAACACTAAAAGCTATTACAACAATCCGCCATTTAATAACGAGAAGTTCACCTTGGGGAAATACTCACTCAACTATACTAGGCTTTGCGGGAGAAGAATTTCAGCACACCATACGATGCCACGAGGAAGGTTGTGATGCCAAGGGTCTTGAGCCACGGAGAGGTCGACGATGACGTGGAGGGCGTGAATGCTGGACTTTCAAGACTCCAAGTGTGCTTTGCAAATTTCCGGTCGTAGATGCTCGCAAGGATTGGTACGACTCTTTCCAAAGTGTTAAATGTCAAACAGTTACTTGAAAGCATAAAGATGTGAATACCATTTGTTATTTTATCATATGCTACTACTTCAGATTTTGTTTTGTGGTAGGTTAACTTTTGTTTCTAAATGTTTTCTTTTGCATCTTGAAAATGACAAATTCACCATGACCGGGTATTGAAAAAAATATAAAAATATAATCATCCTCTTAGCTATGCCATGAATTTAGAGATTTGTCTTCATTGAAGTCCTCAAGTTGTTTTTAAACAGCCGTCATAATTGAAATTATTTTTCAGAATGAGGAGAAATTCTAGATGTTTGAGTTGGAAAGTATAACTTTATTGTTAATTACTTGCTAAAATTTAATATTTTGAAAATTTGAATTAATCTGTGCTAAAGTTTACTGATTAATCATACAAAATTAAGCTAGAGTTAAACCTAATCCATTAGTTAGTTTATTTGGCATTGCATTGTTAATCATATTTTTTTGGTGATCCTTGATGATTGGTATCTTTAGGAGTATGTAAAGAGTTTATCTAGTTTTGAAACATTCCCTGATCTGAGTCTTTTTTATGAATAGTTGATTGCTAAGGACTGTGGACCTCCGGGAAAACAAATTATGCCTCCATTAACATTCAAGCATGGAGTTGAATGGAATGGTACTATTATTCCTCGTTGAATTTCCTTATTGCAAAATTGCTCTCCCAATATGCTTAGTTTAATTTCATATTTCCTGCAGGCGAGCAAACGTATAATACAAGAAAGATTGCTAAAATAACTGCTGATGGTGAACCTAGAAGAAATTTGACTAGTGAAATGACAACCAATAGCAGAGAGGAATTCCATCCTGAAATTTTGTCTGACAACATCTTTGCTGCAGCTACCACTGGCAAGCTTTCCACAAGAACGGGTGAATCTGGAGGACTGATTTCCAAAGCTTCAGTTAAGGGATGGACAGATGAGCAACTAGAGAAGCTATTCTCTGATTATGAGGATGACCTTGACTTAGTTCGTCCTGCTATTTGATTTGCCCAAGAAGTACTGCTGGTATTCTCATTAACCATCATTCGCATCATAAGTTCTCACAGCATTTTTTTTTTTTTAGTTTTTGTTGTGGCCAATGGGTTGTTTTAGACCTTCATATGCCAGCAAAGGGGCGGAATTAGAAATGGGTGAAATTCATTAAAACATTTATCAATATAGATTACTGATTAAGTAATTAAGCAGAAAAAAACTGACTGTTTATTTGTTATTAGTTAGGCAAATGTAAGGTAGAACATAAGTATTAATAACGCATAAGGCAACTTGAATCTCAGTTTTTACATATTTATATGAAGGGGTTAGGATCCAATGAAGTGAGGCTAATTAAAATTCATGTTGTATTTTGTTTTTGTTTTTATATTTTTAGTTTTATTCTTTTGTAGCCAGGAGTTTATAGGAGGATTGATTGATGGATGTATTAATTGATCTTCTGCATGTTATAAATTAAATTTTGATGAATGAATATAAAATATTTTGATGTATATGATTTATAATTTTTTCCGCTAGACTATTTATATAAATGAATTATCAGTGGTTATGGTAGATTAATTATTTAATGAAACAGATAGTAATTCCAAATTTAGATCTTTGAACAATATATAATGCTAGCTTTTGAACACTTGGGTAAGGACAAATATAGAAAAATTAATTTTTTATTCTCTCTCCTCTTCCATTGGGTATTAGAATCCCCATAAGTTAAAAATCTAATAATTTCATTATAGTTAATGGTAGAGGTGCAAGCATTTAAGTAATCTTCCCCATCAAATTGGTAATTGGGAGTTTGGAAGACCTGATTTATCACTAAAGGATAAACAAGACCCACTTCCCTCTAATAAATAACGACTCGTTTTGAGAGTCCTTCGGATTTGTGAAGAATTCGTAGATAATAGGTTTTATTGTGTCTAGGTTGGCATGCCAAGAAGTCCTAGTTATTCTCTATTAGTAAGGCCCCTACTTCCCCTTATAATTGAAAAAACCTTTCTTAGGGATAATCATCTTGTTGACAAGATTATTATAACAATCCATTGTGACATCTACAAACTTTCAAGCATCGTAAGAAGCTGCACTATTGAATCGATGTGTTAGTTCACCATTCATTGTACTGGTTTGCCAGTTCAACCGTCTTTAAGTGTCTTCCACTGCTGCGTTGTGGTGATTTAGCTTTGCGACACCCCTGGGTAGCACCTTGGCGATAAGCTCTCGAATGATCCTTCTACCCCTATGATGTTGTTTTAGTAGTACTCTGATGTTGGTGGAAATGTAGAACTACGATTCTCTATTAATGGCACTGTAGCGCTGCTTCAATTTGAGAATTTCAACATTTCATGCACAAAAAGATAGGATTAGAGAACATTTTCATAAAATTAGATGCAATTTAGAATATACAATTTTCTCTTTTCAATTGCAAATAAAATTTTATCTCCTAAGTTCCTCAAAGCTCTTAGCATCTTCTTTTTCAAAAATCTCCTTTAGGTTTCTAATAATTCCTATTTACATGATGGCATAATTAAAAATCCTAAAATGAATAAACATGACAGCTAAATTATATAGTCCAGTTCTAGGATCAAATAATATGATTAGCACAATTGTCCTCAAATCCTAAAAGGTGTCTCTATTTGTTTGGACTGTATGATTTATATCATATAGTATGATTAACATATTTATCCAACATCAAGAAAAATTCTCTTTGGTTTGCATGCTTGAAAATGTTCATAAAGTTTGATATATGTGATATTTCATTGAATTAAGTTTTTAATTTTTTTCCTTAATTATTGATCCATAACTAGGTAAAATGTACAGGTAATCATACTGTATGATTAGTACTATAGAGGATAATTAGTTAAATTTTGAATTTACATATTTATTGACAGAACTCATAATGATTATTTAATCTGATTATAATTGATCATACGATCCAATTGGTATCATATAATATGATTAGTTTTGTAATTTAATTTTAATATTTTGTTAATTAATATAATTTAATTTTTTTAGATATTTTAAAAATGTCATGCATATCATATAATCCAATTTGCCATTAATCAAGTTGTTTTAATTAACCATTAAAATTTTTCAAGCAAATCACAATTCTAATTTATCTCTTGTGTGTTATGTGGGTTGTTTTATAAATCATACACCTCACACATATAATATGACTCAACAAATGAAAAATACAATAATTATGCTCTTAGGTTTTTCTCTTTTCTTTTTTTATGGCTTCCCTACTTTAGTTTAGGCTAAGTGCTTCTACATTAGCATGTGAATGTCATCTAAGTTGTAAGCCTAGTATTATTTGGCTTTTATCTCTTATTTATTTGAATTGCCAGCATAATTAGAATGCCTACACACACAAATTCATCACAACAAATAATATCTATAATCATCAAAATATCAATAAGCTTATTACGCTCAAGTAGTTTTATACTTTAGAAATCTAAGCTCTCTCTAATTTTGTGTCCTTATGCGGAGAATGAGGATTTATAGCACTTTAGATTGATATTTTGATAAATTTAATCCAAATCTTTGAACAATCAATTGGAGGAGCTGTTTTTATTCTTTGTTTTGAAGATCATTTCTTAGGCATTTAAATGTGAGTGACATTTAAATTAAGTTATATTGGTCTCGTATTTTTTAGTCGAGATGCTCATTTTTCACTCTAAGCATGCAACATTCACAAATCATTTGCCCCCCCCACCCCCCAAAGTATGTCATAAGATCATGCTTCAAGAATTTGGTTTGGCTCATTTAAACTCATTTCATATCACTTTTAATGTCATTAGGCTCGATTCATCTGAATGTTTGTTTTACTGCTATAAATTTGCTAAAATTGAAGTTCATATGGTCCCAACTTTAATTATAAAAATCTATAATTCAAACATTATATTAGGATTTGTGATTGATCATATAGATTTTATAGTGATATATCAATATTTTTTACATTAATGTTTAAGCTAACATCTTTTTTTTTTTTCATTGATCAAAGCATACAGATTCAAACACTTCAAAATAAAGAAAAATAATATAATTGTCATTATTTATCTATGAAAGTCAATACATACTTGCAATTCTTCAATATCTTTTTGGATGTAGTTATGCTATCATCTAATTCTCTTTATGATATTATTAGAATAGAGTTATTGCCTATTTCAAATTATTTGACAATTACCTATAAATTTAAAATATATAGTTAGTTAGTTAGTCAGTCAATTAGTTAGTTGTGTACTTGTAATTGAACTAATATAACAATGAGAGATTATTTTTCGCAAAATCTCAAAATAATAAGAGTGTGGGGTTCACTCAAAATTTTATAAATTTTAAATATTTTAGTGAAGAAAATACATTTATTTAAAATATATTATATTAATTGGTTAAGTCACATCCATCTACTATATAAATATCTATATTTATTTTAATAAGTCAAATTGAGAGAAATTTCTTACACAAATTTTTAAAATAACAAAAAAGCTCCATTTGTAATTGAGTTCCCTCCAATTTTTTTTTTTTTAAAATCTATAATTGTAATATCAAAAAATATTTTTTAATATTAAAACAATAAAAATATTAAAAAAAAAATTATGAATTCTATAGTATGAGTTGCATGTGAATGGGATATATGCTAATATGAGTAGTAAGAATTGATTGTCCAATCTAACAATTACTAAACATTATAACTACATAGAGATATTTTATCATGCTTGATGATTTACCTTAATATTTCATGCATCACATTATTTCTTTCTTATACATATTAGTAAGCCACAATGAGGGAAAGGATTTAAAAAAAAATTCAAAAGAATATAAGAGCTCCATTTTGAAATGAGACTCTCTCAAAATTTTAATTTTTTTTTTTACATATTTAATGCCATAAAAATAATCAAGTAATTTACATCCATCAATCTAATTTTTATATTAAATACTCTTCTAATTATTGATTCAAATTATACTTAATACAAACAATTGTTAGTGTTCAATGTCTTAACTTTAGATGAATATTCAACACTTACATAAAGAAGAGAGGAGTTACAAGAAAAACCTGAGCTTTTACATGAAAAACTTAACAAAGAGAAAAACATGAGGCTTGGTCCAATTTAAATGGAGCCACTGGTACATGTTATTGATTATAAATCATGCCCTTTCTTGTAATTGTGAAAATTTGGGATAAAATATTGTAGGCATGAACTTTATAGAATGAGCTATGTAGTGGAAGTTAGAAGAGCCTGGTGACAGTGAAGCAATCTTTAAGCAATTATTTGATGTATGTTCGACCATTCTCCATTGAAGAAACAAAATCATAAGATAAGAAGTCCAGTATAAATATTAATTTTTACATTAGAATTCAAAATTGGTGTCAATGATCTGTATCGACCTTATGAGTGATTACACTAAACTCAGTGTCTCTCCTTTTGCCCCCACAGCAAGGCCGAGAAGCCTGTGCAAAAACTCATTTCCACCGACCACGATGAGGCAGAGAACCCAACTCCTTTTGCTTCCTCCAGAAATAGGCAGAGAATCCAACTCCTTTTGCTTCCTTCAGAAGCAGGTAGAGAACCTTGATCAGTTGCTAAAGTAGACCTCTCTCGAACCTCTAAGGAACCAGGGACGATAGCTGGAGAAAAAGACTCGGATCCTTGCATAGAGCAACCTTTGTGAAATCCCTCATAAACTCCCCCACACAAGATCCTCTCTTTCTCCCTTGCTCTCCCTCTCCTCTTGGCTCTCTTAGATCAGGACAACAACAAAAGATTTCCTCTTGAGAAAATAAGAGATCTTTTAAACAAGGGCTCCAAAATAGCCCTAATTAGCGACTAATCGTCAAATATTGTTCAGGACGATCTGTCGATCGTCCTGTACATTCAGTTCAAATTTAGCTCAATTAGCCATGATGATTTGGAAGAGTTTGGACGAGTAGAATGTTACTTTGTTCAGATCGTCCAGGACGATAGGATATTGTCTTGTACGATTAGTTCAAGTCATCGAATATCGTCCAGACTATCGCCTTGGATGGATGTATGGACGATGGAAAAATAACTAGATCATCTAAGATGATCTCACGACCATCTGAGCTTATTAGTACAAAATGACAAATATTGTCCAGAA